TCAAACCGGCGCTCACCCCTGTAGACCTGGCTGAGCCACAGGAAGCCCTGGCCACCTGTGAGAGTGATGAGGCCAAGATGCGTCGACAGGCTGGGGTGACGGCTGCAGCCTCCTTAGTTTCTGTGGATGGGGAGGTGGATGCTGGTGGGGAGAACGGGACACGGGCCCTGCGGAGGGAGGTGGGGCGGCTGCAGGCCGAGCTGGCAGCTGAGCGGAGGGCCCGGGAGCGCCAGGGTGCCAGCTTTGCAGAGGAACGCCGAGTATGGCTGGAGGAGAAGGAGAAAGTAATCGAGTACCAGAAGCAGTTACAGCTGAGTTACGTGGAGATGTATCAGCGCAACCAGCAGCTGGAGCGGCGGCTGCGGGAACGTGGAGCCTCAGGGGGTGCAAGCACACCTACCCCCCAGCATGGGGAGGAGAAGAAGGCCTGGACCCCCTCTCGGCTTGAGCGCATCGAGTCCACAGAAATCTGATCCTTCACCTAGGCACATGGCCTTCTGACAAATACCTTGTTGGAAGGCCTGAGGTCCTAGTATCCCTTTCTCTCCATTTCCCTTCCCCATGTCCCCCATATCCCCAGACCAAAGAGGTTCTCAAAGCAGCTGTGACCAGGCTCCTCCCGCCCCCCCCCAGCTTTAGCACTGCCCTCATGGGCAGCCACGTGGACCCCTCCTCCCAAGGAGGGCATGGGGGAATCAAAGTGCATGGGTTTGAGGGCCCAGGCAGCAGGGAGTGTGCTCCCTTTCTGGGAAGCCCATTGTTGGAGATGGAGGCAGCAGGCCTGTGTGCCAGGAGATGCCCCAGCCCTTCTAGGGGGGTCTGGGATGCTGCCGTTGGCCACCTTGTGTCCAGTTTCTGTACTCCTAGGCTGTGCAGCCTGAGGGGGCCTGCACGGGTCTGCTGATGCTGACAGATCCTGGGCTCCCAGTCTCTCTCCTTCATGTGGTTGGTTTTCCCCTCCCCGGGGGCAGATTGGCAGGACAAGAGGGAGCAGATGGCCTGCCTGTGGTTGAGAGGGCTACCTGCCCAGCCCCTCCCCCCAAGGTCTCTTGGGCTCAGGCATCAGAGCCTGGCCTGGTCCTGAGTGTATGTCTCTATGTGTGTGTTAGGGGAGAGAAGGGTTGGGGCTGGAAGCTCAGTGCCCAGGACAGATCTGCCCTCCTGTTCTTAAGGAAAGGAGGAGGCTTCTTAGCTCTACCCTTACCCTTCTGGCCAGAATTCTGCAGGGCAATAGCCCCCCCTCCCCCCCACTGCTTGGCTAACCCCACACCCAGGACCACTGTCCAGCTCTAACTACAGCTACTAAGTGCAACCTGCCTCTCAGGCACTACCCTTGCCCAGTTTCTGAGGTCAGATGAGTGTCTGTGATGTCTTCCTGTGTCTTCCTTCACTCACTCCCCACCCAGCCTCCTGCTTTCACGCTCAGAACATCATCTTCCCAGGCTGCCTTTTCCTCAAAGTCTCACCTTTCTTCTAGTAGGAAATTCTGCTTGACCTTTGGTGCACTGCCCACTTCCCAGTTCTACTGGCTCAAATCTGAGCCTGAGGCCCTTGTTTTGGGGAAGGGCCAGAGCAGGTAGGATGTGATTGCCCTTGAAGAACAAGGCTGGCCTGAGAGGAACACTGACCTCTTGGTTCCTTGCCAAGCTCTGAGTTGGCTCAGTATTTGCCCAGGGAGGCCTGGGATGGCCATCAGTAGGGGTTGGAGCAGCCAATGTCACTTCCTTCTCTGGGGTCCTTCTCAGAGTCTATCTCCCCAAGATAGGAAGGGAATTTCCCATTTCCCTTCTAAGAAAGTAAATTTCTAATTCACCAGCAATAAAAATTGGAGGAGGCTTGGCCCTCAGTCCTTGTATTTCTCTTTTTCACTCTCTCTTCCACCCCCAAAATTGAGTTTGGGGGGCAGAGTGGAGAGAGTTGGCAACTACTGTGAGCAAGTCCCCCAGCCCCTGACCAGCCTCCTCCCATGACTGGTGACTGTTTAATGAGCTGTGCAACCCCCACAAAACAGGAGTGCCCCTTTCATGGCCTCCAACCCTCTGCACAGCCCCTTCTGGGTGGTCCTCATCAGGTTCCTGAGCTGGATGGGAGGCTATCCTGGCAACCACTGCCTACTCTACCCCACTCCTCATTGCACCTGCCCCAGAACCTGGGCCTGGGCCACAGGGACTGGGAGAAAAGAAGGCATTAGTAGGAAAATAAATAAAAAAAAATATGAACAGACTCAGCTTTGGGATGTCCAACCACAAAATAAATTATATATAAATATATATAATATATATATATATATCTACCATATGTGATGGAAAGACTTTTTGTTTTCTTTTCCCAAAGAAATAAAATGGAGAAAGCCTCTTGAATGGCATTCTGTGGCCTGATTGTGTCTTTGCAGGTGCAGGAGGTAAGGTCTAGCAGTGGAGAGGGCAAAGCTGGAGTAAACATTTCCCAGGGGAAGCATGAAACCAGAGGTATTCACTGGGCCCTACTAGGAGGTTGGCCCATGCCCAAGCTCCTGTGCACTTCCCCCAAGTTGGTGTGTGTGTGTGTGTGTGTGTGTCTGTGTGTGTGTGTAGAATAATTTCTATATTTCTACCCAATGGGGCTTTCTCTTTGGCAACACTAGATACAGCCTGAACTCATCTAAGCCACTTTACAGTGACTGGCATATTGTTGAGGGAAGAAGGTATAAAAGGACAGAATGGGTTTGCAATTAGTAACAAAATGGATCTGGTAAGTGTGGTGCATAGCAGTGAGTTGTCCTTTTCCAGAATTGCTACTGTCCTCAAAGCCACACAATCAAGAATGTGTTTTGCTGTAGGAAACACAACTTGATTTACAGAATCTTTTTTTTTTCTGGTCCTGGGGCTTGAATTCAGGGTCTGGGTTCTGTCCCTGAGCCTCTCTGTACTCAAGGTTAGCGCTCTACCACTTGAGCCACAGCACCACTTCCGGCTTTTTCTGTGTATGTGGTACTGAGGAATTTAACCCAGGGCTTCATGCAAGCTAGACAAGCACTCTACCACTAAGCCACATTCCCATTCCTGATTTACAGTATCTTTGTTGTTGTTGATTGTGGAGCTTGAACTCTAGGCCTGGGCATTGTCTCTCAGCTCTTTAGCTCAAGGCTAGTGCTCTACCACTTGAGCCACAGTGCCACTTCCAACTTTTTCTGTTTATGTGATGCTGAGGAATCAAACTCAGGGCCTCATGCATGTGAGGCAAGCACTCTACCACTGAGCCATCTTCCCAGCCCTGATTTATAGTGGTTCATTTTTCCTCTCCTCGGGGGGAAAAGTCTGGGCGTAGGTGTCAAAGAAGTTGATTCATTGTGGACCTAGATAGACTTACTCTCCCATACTAGCTTGTTTCCTCCTTGCCACAAGGTGGCTGCCATCTTGTGAAGGGATTGGTTTGCATCACTTTATCAGGCAAGTAAAAGCTTTCCCATAATCGTGTCAGCATCCCTCCCTTTTAATCTTGTTGGTCAGAACTGAGTCATATGCTCCTCCTACTTCAAGGGAGATTGGGAAATTGAGTATTTGGCAAAGAGTAATAGGATTGTCTCACATCTCCTAGAGATGGGCTTTCTGTTGTCTGGCCACTGCTAGCAGAGACAGACCTGTAATCAACAACTAATAAGCATTTCCTGGTCTGACCTATTGAGAGACCCCTCAAGCAGTGGCATCAGTGGTCTGGGGTGCCAGGCAAACTGCTCTCCACAAAGTTCAGCAGTTAGGATGCTGGACCCTCACCTTGGCCAGGTCATGTCCTCTCTATATAACTTTTGATAAGATGCTGTCTGGAGGGAGCATTTTTTTTGGGGGGGGGTCCATCCGTGGGGCCTGAACTCTGGGCCTGGGCGCTGTCCCTCAGCTCTTCAGCTCAAGGCTAGCACTCTACCACTTGAGCCACAGCGCCACTTCCGACTTTTTTCTTTTTGCTTATGTGGTGCTGAGGAATTGAACCCAGGGCCCCAGGCATGCAAGGCAAGCGTTCTACCACTGAGCCGCCTTCCCAGCCCCTGGAGGGAGCCTTTTTGGGTCTCCCCCACAGCCCTTTGAATGGATGGCAGGGACAAGGTATGAAAACTCTCATCAGCAACTTTCAAGTACCCTCAGCCCTCAGATATGGCAATAGAGGCTGCCCTCTGCCCCTGCTGCCCCCTTCTTGTGTCTGTATGACAATCCTGGTGCTTGAACTCAGGGCCTGTGTGTTGTCCCTGAACTTTACTCAGGGCTGGTACTTTACTACTTATACCACATCTCCAGTTATGCTGTGTGTGTGTGTGTGTGTGTGTGTGTGTGTGTGTGTGTGTGTTTAATTGGAGAGAAGAGCCCTTTCCTGGCAGGGATGACTTCAAACCCCTATCCTCAGGTTTTAGCCTCTTGAGTAGTTGACAGGCATGAGCCACTGGTGACTGGCTTTGGCCCTTCTGATGAAGTGGAGTTTCGGCAGTCTCTTTCTTTCCTAGGATCCCCAAAACAACCCAGGTATGAGACCACAGTGATGGTGTTGGGGTGGGGGTGGGGGATGGGGGACGTGGGGGGAGATGCCTGGCTCACCCATCACAGTTCTGGTCTCCAGCACTAACTCATCACATCCATTTTTCCAAATAGTCTGGCCTATCCATCACTAATTCTCCTGAGAGCACTTTATAGATACATCTTATTATAAATGCATTGTAAGCCTCACTGTATAGCTGAGAAACCAGGTTTTGAGAGTTTACAGGGAGTTCCCCAAAGTCATAAAACCCTGATGTCCAGATTCAAACCTGTATCTACGATGCTCAGCTACTTCCAGGGTGACCCATTCAGGGTGCTATTTCTTACCCCGGAGGGCACAGACGTCCCAGCGTTTTCATTCATGCCCTCTAGTGGACTTGGTCCTTAGACAACGCGGCAGAGTCTTTTGAGCCTCTTACGCACCCGTCCCTCGCCTAGCAGGCGGAAGTTGCGGACGGCAAGCCGGAAGTGGCGCTGAGGATTCCGGTGCTGGTGGAGGAGCGGCCGTGTCTCCTCAACCTGCGGGGTCCTAGGCCACCTATTGCGGCGGCCGCCTTGGCCAGGCTCAGGTGAGTGGCAGCGGCTGGGGAGGAGTCGCGGCGGCCGTTTCCGGTCCGGGGGCTGAGCCTCCAGCCTTCCTGGTTGCGTCCAGGCCGTGGCGTGCGCCCAGGCCCCGGTCCCGGAGCGCCTCGGTCACGCGGCCACCCCAGAGTCCTGCGACCCGACCGGAACCTGCCCCGGTGCTGAGTGAGCATTGGGACTGTACGTGGCTCCCAGGGCAGTGTGAAGATGTAGTGAGAGCTCCCTCCTCACCTCTTGCCACACCTCAATCCTTTGTGCACAGTGATCCCAAGGACATTTCCGAGTCAGCCGCTCCGGGGTAGGGCCCGAGATGCTGTTGTTTCCAACCAGCTTCCCGCACCGTCGTACCTAGAGCAGCGACGCTCTCCATTAATTGGTTTAGTACTTGGGACAAGGTAAGTCTTCAGTAAAGAAAAGGAGATTAGGACAAACCTTTTTGTGTGTGCTCCGGTACTGGGGCTTGAACTCTTAGCCTTTTCTCTCAAGGCTGGTTCGTGCTCTACCACTTGAGCCACACTTCCATTTCCAGCTTTTTGGTGGTTCATTGGAGATAAGAGTCTTACAGACTTTCCTGCCTGTGTTGATTTTGAACCACAGTCCTCAGATCTCAGTTCCCCTGAGTAGATAGGATCCTAGACACGAGCCACCCCACCGACTTACATACCTTTTCTTTATTTTTAGCAGTTTCAGGTTGCAAAAACCTAGTATTGTTGTCTCCTCCCCTCCCCCCCCCTTCTTTCCACGGATAGGAAATGACATTTCTTCCCTTGCTTCCCCCCCACCCTTTCTTTTTCCTGAGCAAAATCCAACAGCTCTTTTTTGCTGAGTCAGGGAGCTTTGTGAAGGCCCCCCCTGTAGTAGATTCTTCTCGGGTCTTCCCAAGAGGCACTTCATTGTTCATTCACTGTAGGCCTTTGGAATCCACTGTGGTTGGTGTTTGGAATTCCAGTCATGTTTTCTGCACTTTGGGTACAGTGTGAATAGATAAGAATGCTCCCTTTCCAGAGGCAGGTCTGTACCTTACTGTTCTGGATCCCATTAGGAAAGCCCTTCATGATTTGCTCCTGCCTAATATATGAAAATAAAACCTGATGACTGTATTGCTTCATACAGCTGATAAAGTGAGGTCTTTGGCAATTAAGCAGGACTGCTGTATATTTGTTAGTGAAGGTTTCTCTTCCCTATTTAGTGATTTATTTTTCTAGTTCCCAACAAAACCTTTTCTTTTATCACATAAATAAAACAAGTATGATATCAAAGAATTCTGAAGTTCCTCCTTGGCTTGTCTAAAAGAATATGCTATATAGTCTTGCACACTGAACAAGCAAGTAAAACCATGTGCTTAGTGGACTAACAGTAATAGTTACTGGAACTGCTTGAGAATTTTTTTCTTGTGACTGTGGGTATACATACTTCCCTTTACATGCCTGGGTTTTTGTCATGCTTTTAGTAGACTCATTTATATGGGCCAATAGGACTCTGTTTTATATGAGAGATTTTCCAGATCCAGGGCCTTAGGAAAAATTTTTTTTTGGGGGGGAGGGTCAGTCATTGGGCTTGAACTCTGGGCTTCGGCACTGTCCCTGAGCTCTTCAGCTCAAGGCCAGCACTCTACCACTTGAGCCACAGCTCAACTTCTGGTTTTCTGGTGGTTATTTGAAGAGTCTCATAGACTTGCCTGGCAGGGCTGGCTTTGAACTGTGATCTTTAGATCTCAGCCTAGGATTACACGTGTGAGCCACCAGCGCCCAGCCTTAAAAGCAGTTACTGTAACAGAATCATCTTTGGGCTTTACCTACACCTGTTACCATCCTGGTAGAGGAATGACAGAGTCTTAGAAGGAGTGGACTGTGTGCACTAACAAAGTTTTAACAGATGATTATATGGGCTGTTTTTGTTCTTATAAGCACTGAAACCAGAATGAAGAAAAGAGAATGGTTTGCTAGATTTGATTTTTGTTTAACTTAGCTCAGTACGTGATACTTTGACTAAACAATTTTACATGTGTGCTTAACCTTCCTAATACTAGTACACTCCTCTGGTATGCTCTTCACCTATGTAGAAACAGAAGAAACTAGCCCTGTTAATATACTTAATAATAGCTAAGGGCGTTTAATGTGAGACACTTCTGCTTCTAGAGAAAGTTAGAGATTAGGTATGTTACTCAGTGATAGAGAGCTTGCCTAGCATGTGTGAGGCTCTAGGTTTGATTCTCAACACTGGAAGAGAAGGAAGGAGAAAAGAGTTGGAGGAGACAGACAACGACTTGGTGTCTGGAACTTGTATATTCTGAGGGTGTTATACACTTAATCTACAGTTGGCATGGTTACTTTCCTCTACCCTGCTCTCCTTGAAGTTATTTGGACTTGCTCTGACCTGCACCTGGAAAATAGAAAGGTAAATTCCTTGTTTTTATGAAGTCACATCAATCAGTGGGCAGTGGGCAGTGCTTTTCGGGAATGCAAGTCTCTGTTCTGAGAATATACACTGATTAAGTAAGACTCTTAAAGTGGCACTGGGAAGGAGAGTATACTTGGGGCACTTAAACTAGGAAAGGAGCTTTGTGCAATGACATCAGATGTCTTTGAGTCTTTAGTGAAAAAGAACCCAGAGTTAATAGAACATCTCATAGTCTCTCTTTTGAACTAGTGGATTCTTTGCAGTCCTTGAGTGAAGAGGAGCTCTAACTTTCTCTCAGATATGTTTGCTCTACCTGGGCAGCACACCCCACCTCCATTCCTTCCCAGTGCCTTTCCTCCTACTTTTTTACCCTACTGTTTCTCTTCCTTGCTTCTCTTTTTCTTTTCCACAATACTCAGGACCTAACTTTTTTTTTTTTTTTTGGGTCCAGTCGTGGGGCCTGAACTCTGGGCCTGGACGCTGTCCTTCAGCTCTTCCGCTCAAGGCTAGCGCTCTACCACTTGAGCTACAGCGCCACTTATGGCTTTTTTCTTTTTGCTTATGTGGTGCTGAGGAATCGAACCCAGGGCCTTGAGCATGCAAGGCAAGCGCTCTACCACTGAGCCACCTTCCCAGCCCAGGACCTAACTTTTAAAGTGCTATACTTTAGACCACAATAGATGTGTTGATATGGTATTTAGTATAACTCCAAAAGTTGCCTGCTGAAAAAAGTAAGTGGCCCCAGTTTACCAATTACAGTTTTATATTTCATGCCTCAAAGATTCCTTGCCACCCACCATTTCTGTTACTGGACATCTATAAAGTTCTATAGATAGTAGGAAGTACTTAACTATAATTTTTCCACATTTTCCATATGTTATTTCATTGTCTTTTGAATAATACATAATTTCTTGTTATTCCATGCATTTTGTAAGTTTAATTTTTGTTTAAGTTGCACATTTTTATGATTTAAACTATCAGTGGAACTTATAACACTATTCCTTTTCCTCTCTCTTTTTTTTTTTTTTTTTTTGGTCAGTCATGGGGCTTGAACGCTGGGCCTGGATACTTTCCCTGAGCTCTTCAGCTCAAGGTGAGTGCTAGTTGAGCCACAGCGCCACTTCTGGTTTTCTGGTGGTTAATTGGAGATAAGAGTCTCATAGACTTTCCTGCCGGGGCTGGCTCTGAGCTGTGATCCTCAGATCTCAGCCTCCTGAGTAGCTAGGATTACAGGTGTGAGCCACCAGCGTCTGGCCTCTCTCCATTTTTGTTCCTCAGTACTTTCACCTATTGATCTGTTTCTTTTGACATTTTAAAATGTGTATTTTAAAATGTTATAGCAACATGATTAAAAGAAGTTTTAAATAGAAAAATGTTTCTCTCTTAATTTTACCATAGCAATAGAGCAGCTACTTTCACATGATACATTTGTGTTGCTATTTCTTTCTTGATATTTATGTTAAAGAGGGTCATTATGTTTGCCAGGCTGGTCTTCAATTCCTGTGCACAAGTAATTTTCCCACCTTAGCCTTCCAAGTAGCTAGACCTACAGGTGCAGCCAACTCCTCTGCCTTGTTGGTATTTATTGATTTCTAACTTTTTTTTCTGTACTGGTTCTGGGTCTTGAACTCAGGGCCTAGGCACTATCCCTGGACTTCTTTTGCTTAAGGCTATAGCTCCACCACTTGAGTCACAGCCCCATTTCCAGCTTTTTCGTAGTTTACTGAAGATAACAGTCTCAGGAACTGTTCCTTCTGAACTGGCTTCGAACCACAGTCCTCAGATATCACCTTCTTAAGGAGCTAGGATTTCAGGTATGAATCATTGGAACCTGGCTTGATGTCTGAGTTTTATATCTCTTGACTTCTGTATAACAAACTTCAGGACTCTATGCTTTTTTCCTCCCCAATAATGAAGTTTGAACCCAGGGCCTCATTCGTGCCAGGCTGGTGCTCTACCACTTGCGCCATGCCTCCAACCTTGTTTTTCACTCACTGTTTTGAGAATAAGGTTTCACTTCCCACTCCGGCATGTACATGGACTCTGGCTCTGCCTGCTGTGGGTTTCTCATTGTTGCTGGGATCATTGGCATGCTCCATGCATCCAGCTTCCCCCTGTGGAAATGAGTCTCCTGGACCTTTTTGTCTGTCTTGGCCTGGAACCATGATCTTCCCTACCTCAGTCTTTCACCTAGTAAGTACATACAGTTCTACCCAGTTGTGGGTTGAGAAGAGGTCTTGTGAATTTTTCTGCATTATCTGGCCTCCAATTGTGATCTTTTTTTATCTTAGCCTCCCAGAGGCTCTATTTTATATCACTCTCCAACCTCCCTATACTTTCTCCCCCTACCTTTTTTCCTGTCAATATAGTTTCATTATAATTTTTTTTTTAATTTAGTACCAGTACTGGGGCTTGAACTCAGGGCCTGGACCTTATCCCTTTTTTTGCTCAAGGATAGCAGCCTATCACTTGAGCCACAGATGTATTCCTAGCTTTTTTTGTGGTTAATTGGAGATAAGAGTCTCATGGACTTTCCTGTCTGGGCAGGCTTTGAACTACTAGCCTCAGATCTCAGCCTTCGGAGTAG